TTTGGTTATGAGGTCTCCTGATTCTATCCCAAGTGATAATGGCTCACATTTCTCATGTAAAGAGGTGCATGAATAGGCCAGGATTGGGATGAATTCAAAGAAAGAATTCAGTGGATATTCTACATCCCATATTGCCCCCAGGCAAACAGAATCACAGAAAGGGCCAATAGCCTATTGAAAAAGAGCACGGGACTGAGTGGGACCAGAGCACTTCAGCGACTCCATAATGGATGTGGAGTCACATGGAGCCCCAGTGACATCAGGTGCTCCTCCTTCCATTAAAAGGGAACATCAGACAGCATTGCAACCAGGAAAACCTGTTATGGTAAAATTACCCCAAATTGGACCGGTGCCTCTGACTTTGACTAAACCTTGTGGCCCACTTGCTTGGGAAGCTCCTGACAGCAGCGGTACAAAACACAGGATTAGCGCATGGTGGAATTTCCCTTCTTTTTAATGGGGTAACCTGTTTGGGCCAACCCCACCCTGACTTGTATTATTTTACTTTTTAGGAGCTCCACTTAATAGCATGAATTTGGCAGAGGGAAATATAACCATAATATGTGAAACACAACCTCCAACCAAAGAAAGGGATATTTACTTACTCAGTTTGCAATTAGTTGAGGGTAAGTGGGCTAATATATATTGGCACAACAAAAACTAACTGACACCTCACAATGCTCCTCCCAGGCTCCTGAAATATATCAGCCAGCAACAAGTGCTATTTAGTCCTTCACGGTCCCTCAAACGAGTGGAATGATGAATGCAGGGTAATATCGCAATTAAACCTGCCTGCTCACCATTCCTGTCTGCATCCTACATTGTCATGGATGGTCCCTCAGCTCCCCAAAACCATCAAGGACAGATGTGACTGGTATTAAACAGCAGGGATGCTGAAGTCCCAGCAATCAAAATAAACTCAGTAACAAGTGATTTCTTACAAGCATTAGGAACTAACCAATGGCCTTTATAGATACAGAATGGGAAAGGACTGATGGAAAGGGTCACTTGCTAACGCTGAATGCCAAGAGGTCGGGGCACCTCCCCATCCAAGGGGTTTCATCTTTCCTGAAGATCAGAAACCACCTTTGGATGAGGGTGAGGACTCATACGGGGGAACAGGCGGTGAGAGGGGGATGAACGACCAGCCCCGCTACCCCGCGGGGAGCTTCGTGGCCCGGCTGTGTGGCTCCCGCGACGGGTCCCAGCACAGGAACACCCCTGTCCCGGCCCGGGGGGCTGCGTGGGCTGCGGGGAGAGGCAGGACCCGGCTCTCCCCCCCGAGCACCCGGTGATAACGGGGCTGCCCCGCACCCCGCCGGCACCGGCTCACCCCGGGGGAAGGTGTGGGATACGACGATTCTGGGACCAGGACTGGAGCCCATCCCCTCTGAGCTCCCAGCCAGGGCTCGGGGGCTCCTGTCCCCGCGGGAAAGGTCACCCCGGGGTGAGCTGTACCCGCACCGCGCTCCCCCCGCCCGCCGCGGTCCCGGCCGCCCCGACGGCGCCCACCTTCGCCTCCATCGCCGCCGCCCGTGCTGTTGCTCCCGCCGTTTCCCTACACCTGGCCTGGGGTCTGAGAGGGCACAGCACCGCCCTCCCGCTCCGCTCCACCCCGGACGGGCCTGGGGGTCTTGCCTTCCCTGTCCCTCCCTCCCCGCTTGCCCTTCCTTTCCCTGCCTTTCCCTCCTTTGCCATGCCTACCTTTTCTACTTGTACTCAAGGCAAGGCAAGGCGGGGGCTAAGGGGAAGGCAAGGAGTTCCTGCAAGAGGTACAGCAGCACCACCGAACGTCATAACAGAATCATCAGCCCAGTCATTAGACCCCAGATAAAAATGTCCCAAAAAGATACTCCGGGTTTGAAACTATTCACATTGACAGCTTGGAAGGCTTCTTGCTGCTTCTTCCAGTACCTACTAAGAAAGACTAATTTTGGCGGGTCAGAAACATCTGCTATGAAGAAATCATTCAAAAAATTTCCCGATGCGCAGGAGAGTGCATTGCCCTAAATCTCTGCTGCGTAATAAAACGAGGATTAAGAGCATAGGTGTGTGTGAGAGACACGGAAATATTAGTGACACCAAACTCCAAACAAATTGGCCGATTGTGGCGTCGAATCTGAGAGCTGGGACAGTTTTATCGCGCTGATGATCTCTTCGCCTCCCCAGGAAGGTCGCGTTCGCACAGGACGTTCACATTTACAGTAGTTATCATCCCATCTGATGGGCCATGAGTGCTGCCAGTGAGGGGCAGTGCAAAACTCCCCTCCCCGCCTCCTAAACCCAAACGTAGATTAACCAGCTAAACTTTGCGTTTCGTGGGCCTTCTCCCGTCCCCGGTACATCGAGACTGTGACCATCACTTCGACACACAGACATCGAAATTACAATCAAGTGTCCTCACTGGGTACACATGCGGTGAGATTTTTCGACTCTTATCCTCCCTCTTTCTTTTCCTTATACATTTTCTCAAGTGTTATTTTTATATGTTTATATTGTTGCATTACTATAGCTAATAACCGAAGTGGCTGCATACCTGCTTTCCACTGCAACCAAATTGTTCTAAAATAAACCCTACAAATTTATATATTATATAAATTTATATATTGATAAAGATTGGTTGTGCAGTGCTGTTTCACTCCAATCCTACCCAAGGGATCTATTAACAAGAACCTGGGTTACCCTCATCTTCAGGGACAGTGTAGTAGCCTTACTTATTTCTAGCAGAGGAATTCAGCCCCACTGTCCAGGACCTCAAAGAACAATTCCAAACCCTTCACAACACTGTCACTTGCTGGGCTATACTGAATTATTCCATATTGCCCCTTATACAGGCTCTGCATCTTCTCTAACATTCCACAATCCAAACGCACAATCCAAAACAGCTTTTGTGTTTCCTTGCTGAGCTCCTGCAAGTAACAGATCAGCTCTCGAAGCTCTTGCAATGAGGAGAGATCAACAAACAGCCTGTAGGATTCACTTTGGAAGGAGGCATAAGGATGGTGCAGATCAATGTGATCCCAAAAGTCTTCAGACTGCTTCATTATTCCTGCTTTTCTTCATAGAAAAACATGAAGAAGCAATACCATGGGATCTTCGAGGTCCGGATAATGACCAATATCTCACAGAACTGTGGAAAGAGGGAAAAAAAATAATACTATAAACCTTGAAGTACAGACACATCAAAAAAACATACCAAATAAATGTAAATTGAATACAAAATTATAATTATAATAATAATTAAAAAAAAAAGTTTAAAAGTTTTGTCCTTTCTCCTTAGGGAGAAAAAAAATGGCTTGTCCAGCCAGTCTGCCTCGAGTTGTCCTTTATATTTCTAAGGATAAGCTGTTTAGCTACACCACCATCTTGGTAAAAATCCAAGAAAAAGTGGAAAGGGAAATTAATGATTCACATGCACAAGGCAAAAATTCACTAGTGATCCAGATTCGAAAGGATGTGAAGAAACACACCTGGATTACCTTAAAAAATGGTGCCTTCAAGTGGAAATCCACATTAGCAATGTGCCTATTTGTGCACTGCTGCTATAAAATGTAATTAGGCTTTTGAATATCTTGACCAATAACTGATTATTCCAAGAAATTAGTAGCTCTTACCCTTCTATCTAACACCCTCTTGCTTTTCTGAAATGTATCTCAGCAAACCAAAACGCTTCCACTAGATGGCAAAATGAGACTGAATCTTCTACATGATCTCAAATTTTATTCACGGGGTGAAGATAAAAGAGAAATACATTAATATATTTGTATCGATTTTATTTCTCTGATATTTATTTGGACAACAGTAACAGTTGCAGGTATTCTACCACATGAAAGGGGATTTCCATTTTCCATTCGTCCATTTTAAAGCATCTTTGGAATCTTGCAACATTCACAATTAGGCAGGATTTCTCTTTTTCCTCATGCTCACCCTGATTAGATAAAGGTTTATAACTTCCTTCATAGAAATTTTCAGTTCATATCTTTTAATACCAAACCAGATTTTTTTTTCACTTCTCAAACCACCTGAAAGAGTAAACAGATGGTGCAGAAAACAAGTTCCCCCCTGTACTGACCCATCAGTTCGTACCACACGTGCCTGTCTCGGCGAAGCTTAATTGTTAAAACTGAGCCCAGAGCCATAAGCACTGTCTAAGGCTCTCATTCTGATTAGTAATTGCATGAAGAAGTTAATGAAGTGAACTGAAAAAGTGTTTTTCAGCTGATGCTGGACAATAGCTGTTTTTGTCTAAAGGGAAAAAATAACTCTGTAATCAGGATTATATGGCTCCCCCAACTGATTAAGTTACTAAATGTGGCAGAATATTTTCAAGACAAAGAGCCGACTGACACTGTTAATATATTCATTTTTTGGAGGGTCAAAACACACCCATCCAACATCTCCAGAAGCCAAGCCCAGCACAGTTGTACCCAGAGCACACACGTGAGCACAGACAGACAGGGCTTGTGTGACCCATCAGGGCATCTTGGACATGACCCTTCAGTCATGTTATGTCAGTAAGAGGGAGGTAGAAGAATCAAGACATTTGACAAAATCAATTCTGCATCACATGAAGTTGAGTTGTGTGTTTGCTGCACAATAGTTCAGGAAGGAGCATAAAACAGTTTCAGGTTTTGCCCATATAAAAAGTCTTTTTCTTATTCCTATTTCTAGTCCTCAGAATGAATAAATTCTGGAGATGCCCTTTCTCTAGTTCTCCTCTCATTCAGAGATTGAAAATGCGCCCTGTCCAGAGCTCTAAATGGCAGTTTTTTCATGCTTCCAACTTAATAGTCTACCATGATTTGTTAATTCCAAAATTAAGCCTCTCTCCTGATTTTGGCAACTTTAAAAAATGTGTTCTGAATCAATGTGCTTATAGATTATAAATGGTGTTTAGATGAACAGCTCCCTGTATTGAAGACTGCAGGTGTTTTGCATTTTGCCTCTCTGAATGTGAGAGGTTTGTGATCACCAGAACTTCACAATCCAGCGGTGAGCAGAGATGTCCAACAGAACATTGAGAAAGAAAATCTGCTCCCAGAACCTCAGCTCAGTGACATCTGCACCCTTCTATAACAAAACCAAACAAAACTCAACCAACTAACCAAACTGTGTGAAAGAAAAAATAATTATAATAAAGAGCTGTTCTGTTTCTTCCCAGACTTGGTGTCTTATATCTGGTTCACACAAATGTCCAGGAGCTCAAAGGCTTTATTGAACCTGGATAAATTAAAGAGTAAGAGTGATATGGGATGGGAAACAAGTGAGAGTTCTGCAGAACAGTTAAAAAAAGGCAGTTGTAGGAAATTTTCAGAACACACAGTTCAGACACTTCAGTGTCTGTCTTCACATTTCTTTCAGTGTCACACCTTGCTATTTATAAATCACTTATAATAAAGCTACCTGAAACTAACGTCTAAATATCACAGTTTGTTACACTATACAGGGGATAACAGTCAAATAGGAAGAAACACATAAAAAGTGCTCAACTTTCTCTGGAAAATGTAATTTTAATTCTGAAAGTTTAAATCTGAAACATGAAGTAGTTCATGACCCATCAGCCAGTAGAGAACAGAAAAAAAACTCAAACCCAAATAAATCAAAATAAACAAAAAGACCCCACAAACAAATTAAAAAAAAAAAAGAAAAAAAAGGAAAAAAGAAAAAAAAAGAAAAAAACCCCCTTCAGTTACTGAAAAGCAACAGAAACAAACTTCTTAACACCAATTTGTGGATGTTAAAAAGGGCATTTTTCTTTATTCAGCATGCTGGAGGTTTGGAGAAGAGCTCCTCTAATCAAATGACAGATGAACAGGGCTTTCTATTACACATCCTCTCTACATATTCATTAGATATTCTTACTCCCTTAACACATATTAATTAGTTCATTTACAGTCCTTCTGAGCTGTCAGTGGCTGTACTGGCAACTCCTAATGGCAGATCCACAGTGGACATTTTCCAACCATCCTGAGAAATGCCCACAATTCTCTTCCCCTTTGTGGCTGGGGTTGAGGGATTGTTTCTTTCTGTTCCCATCCCAGCTTCCGTTGTCCCTGGAGGGTTTGGAAACCCGGGTAAGTTACTGTGCTCTCGACTACCCACGCTCGGGGTTTTGATACCCTGTATCCACTCAAACCCGAGGGAATTCAACAGTGCCACAGTCTGATCCCAACGCTGCTGTTTAGTTTCAGTGGCTGCCAAAATGTCATCCACCTACTGTAACAAGGTTCCACCAGGTTTTGAGTTCTCCAGTTCTTTTGCCAATTGATTTCCAAATATTATGGGCCTCTTTTACCCCCCCACCCCCACCCCCACCCTGTGGGAGGACCATTCGAGTCAACTGTTTTTTCCTCCCTGTGTTTGGGTTTTCCCATTCAAAAGCAAAAAGCTCTGGACTTTCAGAACTCAAAGGGATACTGATAAAGGCATTTTTCAAATCTAATACTGTGAACCACTTTAGTGTCCAACATAATCTGTATGTTACCCATCAATATCTGCTCTTCCAAAAACCTCCTCCTAGTTTTAACAACCATTTCTTTCTCCATACTATCAAACAACACCTCTAACATGGCATCGATATCCTTCTAGTCCAGATCCTGGGTTTTAATCATCATTTTGAATGCTTTTGCCATTTAGTTTGGGTTATTTCATGGAGGGGAAGCCACTACCACCCCTCCTTGTCTGGCTCTAGTTCTTCCTGCAACCAGACTGAAATTCTCTCTCTGACACATTCTCTCTACCTTTTCTTCTAGATGTGCAAAATCTGCCTCTTCACACGCCAGTTCCCTTGCAAGATTGGTTTCTGCATCTTGATTATCTGTTCCCCCACCCAACCTGCGAGGGGGGCCAACCATGAGATCTGAGTCGTCCTCCTTATCAGGGAGATGTTTAGAACAAATTTTTCCTATGCCACGCATTGAAAAACAACATTTTAGCTGCTTCCGTTGATTCTCCTTTTCCAGGGCTCACACCAATGGGTCTGAGGGGGCTGGATTCACACCACGATGTTGCTGCCCTTCCAGATGGTTCTGCAAAGTGAAAACTGTATCAGCATCCATAACCTCATCCCACTTTGGTTCCCACCTTAAAAACAGCATTAATTGTAACAATGTGTGTTATAATTCAATGTTCCATAATGGCTACCTTTGATTACAACACTTAATTCATTTCTCCCTGGTAGCTGTTCCCCAGGAGGTCCATCAGTCTTCCTAAAATGCAGCCAAGTGGGGACTTTTTCAAAATGTCCCCTTCGGATTGTCCACTACTCATCTCTGAACAGCAGACCCAAAACATTACAGTACAGAAACAAATACAAATGCAAAACAATATTGATCGATAAAACAAAGCCAAACCAAATAACCCACCCAATGCGCTAGAAAATCCACGTCTTGTATGGGCAGGATTCCCAAAAAAATGCCTTATTATCAGCTGGGATCTTACCTGCATCCCAGACTGGTCCGGGGAGCTGTGGTCTTCTCCAGGAAAGTCCTGGTGCTGGCAGGAAGATCCAGAGATCCCTCGGATCCGTGGGAAGTCGGGCAGGGCTGTCCTATCTGGGAGGCCAAAAATGATACCAGCAGAAACAAACTTCTTAATGCCAATTCGTGGATGTTAAAAAGGGAATTCTTCTTTATTCAGCGTGCGGGATGTTCGGAGGAGAGCTCTTCTAATAAAACATGCCAAGTGACAGACAGACAGAGCTGTTTATTACACACATCTTTACATATTCATTAGATATTCTGGCTTCCTTTATACATAATCATTAGGTTTTTTACATAGCCACACCCCTGGAAGTCCTTCTTTAGTTGTCTTCATCGTCTTGACCTCAGTTCTTGAGCAGGTACAGCATCGTTGTGTCCCACTACCCAAAACTGTTAAGTTTGTTCTTTATTTTATCTTGTTCTCTATTTTTATCTTTATTTAGTTGACATCATCTTTGTTTGAGTACATCCCTACCAAATTTTCTAGGACTTCTCTAAGATTACATTGTTCCTTGTTTGAACATTCCGGGATACTGCGAGTAAAGGTTCTATTTCTTCTATCAGTTACCACAGTTCATTTTCTCAAAACAGTTCTGGTTCAGTTGTTCTCCCTGGATTCAAACCTGCTTCTGCCTCCTCTCTCTTGTAAAAAATTACACATATGCTTTGGGAAATAAACCATCTAAAGTATAAATATAAAATATTTATCTGGTTCTTTCATAACATGATAACAAAAAAGTAAACAATATTTAGTAATTGATGATGAATTTCCCTTGAGATTGACATGCATTTTTTTTTTGTTTTAAATCCTGGTATTTTGAAACAAAAACAATTATTTTCATGTAATGAAGAATCATTAGGAAGAAACAGCAACCCTGCATTTTGAAAAAGTCATATTTCACCTGGAAATTCGATCATAGAGGAAGAGCACACATACAAATCAGAGTCTACCCAAAGTGTTAAAACATTAAACAGGAACAAATTACTTATATTATCTTCCTCTGTATTACTGTTGGCATTATGGTCATCTCTATCCTTGAATCCAGTGGTGGCCCAATGAATTCATCACCTTCATCATCATCATCACCAGTATCCTCAGCTGGACCTTTAACAGAACTCTGGGATTGCTGGAAGTCCATTCATAGTACAATACAGGTGTACAATTTAAAATATATGCAAAATCCATGTTTCTGAGAAAAAATATCTCCTATTATGAATACACTGCATTTTGAACACAAAAATTTGAAAAGCATGGGATGTTCAAGAATTCAGCTCCTTGGAAAATCTGAGCCGGTCACAGAGAGGAACATAAATATTGAAAACTAAACTAATATTAAAAACAAAACTGTACCCCAGGCGATGTTGGTTACCAGCAGCTTGTTTTCCTCCGAGACATCTATTTTCTGATCTGTGAAATTCGCTCTCAAAAACTTTCAGGATTGGCAAAATCTTTACCCGTGAAGGTCTGAAATGAGCACTTCAATGTAAAAGCAGTTGAAGCTTTTTTTCTTTGTCTTAGCATTGCAAAATCACAAATGCTTTGCTTGTTGGTCAGTAAGATGTTGAAATATTTAGAGAATTGGAAATATCCTACTGGGATCAGAATCCACTCTGAGTTTGTGTATGGACAAGATGCTCTGCAACTGCAACATTCCCTCCACGAGCCTTCCTTGTGATGGGTACAATGGCCAAAATCCCACCTTGTTGGCCAGTTTACAGCGTAACTCTGCAAGTTCTGTAGAGTTGGCTTTGTTTGGGTTAAAACAACTACCTGTTTAAATAAAAAGATCATTTACAATCCGAATGTCAGAGCCGATAAGCTGTTCATGGGTATCCATAGCTCATTTGATGAACATAACAAAAAATGGGCTGAGTTAAAATAATCATAATTTCTTTAGGTGTAAGAATAGGTGGATATACTTGAAATACCACTTTTTATAAAACTTTGATGAAATAAAAATTGCCATTTTTATTGCTGTTCAGTTGTCTTTGCTGCAAAAGAACAGTTTTGGGGTTTTTTGGGTTGCTTGAATAAACATGTACCGAACAAAACCCCCACCAGAAAATAAAAGAAGGCAAAGCAGATGGAAGGCAAAGCCTGCTATGGAAGCACTGAATGGGAATACCTTGGGCTTCAGCTCCATCTGGGAATAGCAGCTCCCAGGGATGCTGGTTTCCAGCAGAGCACAGCCCAATTCTGAGGGACACAGGAGTGTCAGGGGCCAGTTGGGAGCTAAAGCAGGAGCTTTATGGCAAAAGGGAGCTGGGCCAGTGCAAGAGAGCCCTGGGGGTAACTGGAGCCTTGCAGGCCCAAGGTCTTGCCAACTGCCCCCTTGGCAGAGTCTTTCTTGGAGCTGGCAGGAGGAATCCTGTTCTTTGTGCCGGGTGGGGAGGATCAGAGCAGTTAGTCCAGACTAAGGGGTGTGGTTTTAACTTTCTTCATCTTCACCCTTAACTCTGTCAAACTTACACACTCAATTCCAAAGCCAGTGTGTTCACTGGTGGAGTTCTGTGCCTGGCAAATCCTGTATTAGCAGAGAAGTCTCATATCCAAAATCCAACATCCTTTCCAGCTGTGCTTTTGTCCCCTTCAGTGTCACAGCACAGCTGGCACTGGATGAACTGAGCTGAGCTGCACTGGCCAGCCCGGACTCCGGGCAGGAGAATTCCTCAGTCCACAGTTCCTCCTTCTCAAGCTTTCCTTGGGAGCACAGCCTTTCATGGGTCACGAGAGCAGCTCATTGCTGTCCCCCAAAGTCACCAAGTTTGCCTCCTTTTTCCTTCCCTCATCTCCAGCTTCCCTTTCTCACACCAAGCAAAGGGTTTTTTCAGTCTTTCCTCAGTAGACGCCTTTGCTGAGGTTTGCTGGGAGTTCCCTGCATTTTTTGGCAGCATCTTTAGACGAACTAGACACATTATGACATTTATGACCCCAACAGAGTGAATGTACCCGAGAAAACAATACTCTTTTTAGAATATCTCTAAATACTTACCTTATTTTTACAGCAAATAGTGGGGAACGGACATATAACCTGAGTTATTCTAGAAAAATAAACCATTCTGAAAGCTGTTCAAAGCAAGCCCTTGGCTCCACTTAGGGGCAGAACACCACCAGGAAGAGGTGAGAGAAAATGAGAAACATTGTTGCTGTTTGAAGGCAGCAGAATGTGAGCAGTGTGAATTTCCCCCCTGTGTTGCCTAAAATGGTTTGACTCTCACATTTTCAATCATCACTCACCAGACCATCACTGCATCAAAAGAACTGTACCATTGGCAGCTGCTGTTGAAGAGACACATTTTTTATGTGAAGGTTGTGCCACTGCAGGGTATAAAATGCCTTTAAAACACCAACTTTGTAAAAAGAGTGAAAAAAAAGGTCCCAGTGGAAATGTATGCACCTGATAACAGCTGTAATATCAATGTTTCTCAGCATTTGAAAATCTAAGAGTTTAAAATCCACCTGAGGAGATTGCCAACTGAATTATATAACAAATTATATTATAGAACGGACGTGTCTTGTGCTGCCTGTTTACTGTGCGTTCGTTTCTTGAAATATAAAATTGAACTCCTAAGATTCAAAGCATGTGATCAGTCCCGGCAGACAGTTAGGATTTCCCCCTCTGAAATGTGTCTAATCATCACCAAATTTCTGCATGTGTCCTGTCAAAGCTGACATTCTGCCCCAGGAACCCTCAGTGGCCCTGTTTGTTGGCTGGGGTTCATTTATTTGCCCCTGTGCTCAAGTCTACCTGTCCTCCTCCAAACAAATCACATGTGGTGGCTTCCCAGACATCCTCCCTTACCCTCCTACCCAAATCTGACTAAAGATTCTGGCACAAGTGTGGACGTTCAGCTGTTTCTCTCTTGATGTCTGTTCTCAGGGAGCAGCAGTGTTGAAATTGCCTCTCCAGGCCGAGGGGGAAACAGGAACATCTGAGACAACATTATAACTCTGGAGGTAACAGCAGTGACTCTGAAGGGAGAAAGAGGAATAATAAACAAGTGGGAAGAGTGAACAGAGGAGCAAATAAAAGAGAAAAGAGCAGTCTGGTTGGGATTGGGGGTCGTGACTCATGCGTGGTGAGTTGAACAACATTTTCCATTGGCATCTTCAAACACACACATAGGCTGGAAGTGCAGTTTAAAGTGGTTACACTGATCTGGGAGTATCGCTGCAAATTCAGATGTAGGGGTGTTTCAAGTGGTGTTTGCTCAGCAAGACTGTGTTGGCCACCACATCTGATGTGTTTGTAACATTACAAAAGAAGTTGTAGAGAAAGACAGAGCTCAAGTGCATGTGCAGCTGGGCTGTGCAAGCTGCATGGAGTCTGCATGTGGCTGTAATGTACTCACGGGGCACAGACAGGATCCAAGCAAACCATAAGAGGAGATGCATGTGCTAGAACTTCTGTGTTAGCTGCTCTCTAGACTAAATTGACTTTAGAGGTGACTGTTTTTCTCCTTGCTCAGCATCAGAATAAACAATGCTGCAATTCTCCTGTAACGTCACTAGAATAAATTTTGGCCAGGCTTATATTTTATATTAGTACAAATTATACTCCTCCTCGTGGAGGACAACTGAGAGAGAGAGACCAACCCATCTCAGAGCAAGGTATTCTGCTTTCAAGTTTGCCTGTGGAGAAAAAAGACTTTTTCATTGCTGGCTGTGAGCACACGTGGCTGAGAGAGGCTTTTGAACTGCTGGGACAGTCCTGCCTTTCCCCCACCCTCTCCCCAGGTTGCCTCTGGTTTCTTCCCCCACTTGGGGAATTGGGACTTTGTTTTGTTTCTTCTGAAAGTTTTTGATTGCACCATTTGTTGTTTATTCACATTTTGATAATAAAAAGCTGTTTCTTTTCCTTTTCCACACTTCCACCCGAAGTGTCTTAGTTTCTGAGTTGTAATCTTGTTGAACTAAGACAATTTGGGATAGAAATCAGATTAAAGGTAATGAAACACTGTATTAGAATGAACAATTAGAAATTATAGCACGGGCTTCTTCCTGTCCCTGTGCTGTAAGAAACTTGTCTCTCTGTGAAATGCAGAGGATGTGTTGGGATGTCTCAGATGGAATCGTGTAACCTCCCCTTCACCACTGCTGACAATGCACCAGGAGAGCAACTTCTCCTTCCAGGATTCTTTGACACAAGTTCATTTAGTCCTGTTTCATCCCCAAACCTGGAGGTGATGATATTTCTGTGATACTGTCAGGACACACCTCAGATGGTTCACATCACTTTAAATAAGAACCCAGAAAACACAGATGTGTTACGTGTTTGATAAGTGCTACACTGCTGGGAAGAGCTGGGACCAGAATTTCTCCAGAAATAGAAGTAAACTGCTTTATATCCGCCCGTGGATTTCAGAAGGAAAGCTCTTATATTGAATACCATGAAGACTTGTAGATCTGATCTCAAATATGTGCATTCATATGCAACACAGTTGCAGACTACAGACCCAGGATTAGAAGGCCCTCAGGGGCTGGAGACAAGGGAGCTTCTAATGAGCATTTCATTGATCACTAGAGAAAGAAGAGAAACTTTCCAGTGTTTTAGGACTATGCACCTATTGTAACTAATACAGGGCACAGATTATCACCTTTTGTGCAGGCTAATGGAGCACTTGTCGGTAGTGACCCAAGAGGGGTTCTCACCATCACAAGAAGAAAAGGCAGAATGGATATTCTGTTTTTTAAAACCAGGCCTGTTGTAATTACTCAATGTAATCTCACCAAAGGGGCCTCCTGACAGGAAGGTGCCTGAATTGGCTGTACATGACAGATGAAAGTCTTTCGTGTCCCTCTGGTAATATTATGGTTTTGTGGAGTCTTTTTCAGGCACAGAAATGCTCACAAGAGGTAGCTGAAAAATGAAGCATTGGAACAATGGCAATGTAATAATTTTTCATCTAAACGTGTCCATTTTTTTTTGTTTCGCTGAGTGATTCCTCAATTGAAGGAATTCTGACCATAATTCCATGATTCATGAATTCCTCCTGTGCAACTCCAACAATAACCTTTTATTGCAGTACAAATCAAAGAAAGATACTGGACACTTCAGGTAGTGAGGTAAATAGAAGAAGTTTCTCTTAAGTGAACATTTTCTTCTTTGGAGGGGTAAACTTGCACAGGGAGTAACCCAGGTCCATGCAGATAATACAATATTTTTATGCTGTTCAGAGTCTGTAAATAAAAGAACATTTATATATGCAATCACAAGCACACAGGGTCCATAGGAGCTGACTTATATGTAGCAGGCAGAACATTCTCACCACTTTGCTGTGCTTCCTTGTTTACTTATTTATACTCAGAGAAAGGAAGTGGTGAGGCTGACTGGCTGCAACTTTTCTGAGAAGAGACCATTTTGTGTCAGAGGAAGCAGCATCTCTCTCTGGAACCTCCTAACAACGGAGCTCTGAAGCAGAAAGAGCAGGTCTTGGACAGAACCAGCTGGGCAAGGAACTCCTGGACAGGCTGGAAGGGCTCACACAGAGGGAATCCATGGCTGTTTCATTGATAGCACTGCTATGAACACTCTCTGACCACCCGGAGGAGGAAAAACTCACCATGGACCTGCGGAACATTCCCTACCGCTCGGACGTGCTGACCTGGAACGCGGATGACTTGGCAGAGTATTTTAGGACGGTGAGTTTAACTGGGTTTTGTCTTCATGTGACCGAGGAGGAAGCTCCTGTGACATTGTCTGTGCCAGATTTAGGTATTTTACAGCGGGCACAGCTGGCAGCCACACTGAAAGCAAAACCGCCGTCAAATAAAAAGCTGAGCCAAACTGGGCAGTGAAATCTATAAATGAAGCTTGAAAGCGCTTTTTAAATTGGGTATAAGAGAAACTGGTGGCTTTACAACCAGGCCTGTTGTAATTACTCAATGTTATCTTGCCAAAGGGACCTCCTGATAGGAAGGTGCCTGAATTGGCTGTACATGACAGATGAAAGTCTCTCGTGTCCCTCTGATAATATTGATAATATTTGCAGCTATGTTATTACTTGTTGGTGTAACATTAACAGCTGTGGAAGGCTTTAAGGTGTGAAGATTACAAGTTTTCTGTAATGATTTTCAGAAGAGAGCTTTTTTTTTCCCCGAATTGCTCCATGTCACAAATGAGCCTCAATGTCTTTGCTAATGGCATCCACGGCTGGACTTGTAAAACCTGGGACACTTTGGGCTTCATTTTGAGATCACGGGAAGTTTATTTTTTCAGCAGCTCCTATAACTCTATAAAGAGAGTTTTATTTGGGGGAGTTGAGGCAAGTTTGACACTAGAATGCAAAACTGAAGCAGATCAAACACAGAGAAGTAAAACTGCCAGCTACTTACAAACCCCTAATTTTAGCGGGCAGGGGTTGGTGGCACAGGAAAGTGAAACCAAAAACTGGAGATGGAACAGATGAGATCATTATCAACAGGTAACTACAGACAAATACGAAAAACATTACAACTCTGATGCAGTGAGGGGGGTTCTATCCCCATTTCCAAGAAATTAAGAAGGGAAGTGGCTTCCTGAAAGAGCTGATCTTGATATTCTGAACAGAGATAAATGGGTTAACTGTCAGTTCTACCATAAGTGAATGTACGTGGTTACATTTATTGTTTAGTATCTGTCTTCTACTCATTGAGATAACCCCCAGGATAGAGATAATCTTGGCATTCCACATTTGGAGAAGTGAATCAGGGCACAAGCTGCTTTAAATCATCTTGAAATCTGGGAAAGACAACAGTGTCAGCCTAATTCAGCCTAATTCACCTCTCATAAGTGACCAGATCTCCCCTGATAAACTCATATAATTTCCTTTACACATATCACTAAAATTGCTCAAAGACCAGGATTCAGCTCCAAGAGGGAAAAGTATTTTTTTCTCCTTCTCAAATAAGCTAATTGTGGAATAATATTCAAAGGACAATCACCTTCCAATTTTCTGTCACCTGACATGATTTACTCATGACACAGGGTACAGTTTTCATCAATTCATTGTTGGCTTACACCTTCACACGAGCAAAATTCAGCCAGCACACACCAGGAATTTATGTGACAATACTGTGATGTATTAGGGCATGAATAAAGTCCTCACTATCTGTCAAATACAAATTCTTCATTCTTATCAATATTAACATCTAATTCATGATTCTAGGTGTGTTAACTTAAAGCCTGTGTTAAATCAAACCATGCATTCAAAAGAGGGAAGAACCAACAGACCCCAAAATTTTCAAATAATGTCAAAAGTCTTTAATTTCTTCTCTTTTTCCTTCCCTTTTTTTTTTTTAGAAAAAGCAAAAATGTTCCTATTTGGAATATTCCAAAGGTTATTTTTAATAGCTAAACAGTATTTTCCATCAATTGGCTTAAGAATGAGTTTAAGTCTCAGTCCCAAGTGTTGCAGTTGCTCCCCCTGCACAGACTTGTGCTGACAATGCCATGACAGTGCTTATTGTATGAAAGAAATAGTGCTTATTGTAGGAAAGAAATTACTCACAGGTTTAAATCCTCAGCCTGCACAAAATCTTAATCTGTATCCTAAAATATTTAGCAGAGTTGGCTCTTAAAACTATTCTCTGCTGTTTAGATGTTTTCAGGATCCATTCTCACACCAAGATTACTCCTTAAAAAGATAAATTTGGATAGAACTACGAAAGGACAACGTTCCCTGTAAGATGTTCTCTGCTTTAGGGGAATTATCCGAGCAGCACAGGATCATTTGTAAAACTTTCACTGACTAAAGTTTCAGGCAGGACAAGGGCCATTCTTCTGCCTCGAAGCCTCCAAAAATCACTTTGTCTGCCTGCTCTTTGGGTTCCTTCTGCTTTGAACCCGATCAACTTGAAATGGAAAAATGCATTCTAGCCAGATCAAAAATAGTGGTTGTGTTCTTATATTGTGCTGTTACTGTTCAAATAAAGAAAAAAAAACCAAAACTTAAGACATCTACTGGAAATGTTTAAAGCTACATGATCAACTTGTACATGACCAGCTTCTAAAATGCCCTCGTCCTAAATGTTACTGTAAAACAATATTGTGGAAAAGCTTCCCAAATATTATAAATAATTTCCAGGATTAACAAGTGGGACTTCCATCTGGAATTGGAGGCTTTTCAATCACAACAGTGAATTCTGTGACTGGGATCAGGCCTTTAGTATTCCAGGTTTTTGCTGTACTTCCTGTTTTCTGCAACTGCTCATCCCCATCAGTACCAAAATATCCATTTTCTAAATATTTCTTTGGGCCAGGCGACTGTGAGGTGGTTGGTAAATGTGAGGAATTACATCTTCCTAAATGGACGAAAATCCTCAAGTCCGCTGAAGAATCTCTGCCATAAAAATCCGTGTTTGTGGAACCAAATGAGCCATTTAGAAAGGTTGTAACACACAGAAGGGTAACTTGAAGCATCTACTCAAAGCCAGACGTATAATTAAGTGTCTTAGTTGATACTTACAATTAAGGGTGCAATAATCATCTTCTTTCCATTGACAGTTAAAGTATAAGGACTGTGAGAAAGTCGTAAGAAAGCACAGCATAAATGGACCAAGGTTTCTGGTAAGTGGAGTTATAAAATTCCTTCCTGTAAAATCCCAATCAAGTGACTGTTTTGTCTCCTCCCTATTTTGCATTGGCAGATACAGAGCACTCATCTCCCAGGTGGTTACTGAGCTGGAAATTTGGGAAGTAAATTCTTTTGCTAAAATCAGCCAGACATCTTGCTTTAAATATGGAAAGCTGGCAACCCAAGCATGTTGTTCAATATGCATATTTTTTAGTATTTTTCAAACTGACAAGTTTTAAAACCATAACCTTGTCTTGAATTCATCTATTCCTTTATAGGAAGTTCTTGTTTTCAAATATTAACTACAGAAACCCCACATTTGTTCATTGTCCTCTCATACCAAAGAAGACAAAGCCCCGTTCAGAATGACTGGCCTTGCATTGTAATCACTCCTTCATTCCTCTGGAGATAAAATTAGATTTCTTCTGTAGTAATACACAAAATCAATGAAGTTGAAGAGCATCAAAACCAGTAATCAAAGACCCAGGGGGTTTAAATCAACATTGTCCCATTGTGAATCAATGTGTGATTAGAAACTTATCGTTGCCAGTTAAAAAGATGGAAAGAACCAGACTATCCCCATGTTCCAAAGAGAATTTGTGAAGCTTTTAATTAACTAAAAAAACCACTGAATCAACTAAATCCAAAGTTTTCACAAGGCCTGAATGTGCCCTAAAGGTGAAGCTGCTCATGCTGGAAGAAGAGAGGGGGTGACTGTGCAGGAGTATCAGCAAAGCTCTGGAACATCCAGTCGGGAGTGATCTCAATCCCACTGCTGTGTGATTGAAGAAACACTCCCCCCCTCCCCATTCCAGTTTCTAAAAAGATTTTTCTCAGGCTGCCAAGGAGTCCAAGGAGTTTTCCAGCTACATGTCTTGATGTTATAGATCTTAGAACAAAACTCCAGCTAATGGTTCTCTATTTTAAAATTTACAGTTTTCCCCTGAAACTTTGCAATCGTGCACAACCTTTTCTGATTTCACTACACAGACATGAAATATTTCAATATATCTACTTCTGAAGTCACTTAAATATTATATGAATGGTAATTAATGATTTTTTATATGCAAACTTCTGTAAGTCTCAGGGTGTTCCATGAGCAATTTTGTGATGTGTACCATGTGTTTCCTTTTCAGAACATGTCTGAAAACGACATTCAGAAATTTCCCAAACTCAGAGTGCCGTAAGTAAACCCAAACCACTTCAACATTTAAAATTATTTTAGCTGGTTTGCAGTGAAAACTCCTAGGAAATATCAGGCAAATGATTTGCAAGTGATTGGTCGGAGGCCTGTTTATTGGAGTGTGCTGAGAGAAAAAGCAGAATATTCCAAAATACAAGGAGTGTTGTCATGACTGCTCAAGCACGATGATACCATACAAAAAGGTTGTCTGGGAGATGTTCAAAAGAACTTGTGCATCAATTCTTTGACTGAGAGCAACTACACAAAGGTTGAAGTTTTCTTGCAAGCATTCCCTTTGAAGTGTGATTTAACTGTTCGCTGCTTAACTGTTGACTTTAACTCAAAGGGAAAAAAACAAGTCAGGCACTGTCCACAAGAGCTGAGGAGTTCAAAGGGTTTTCATCATGTGGTTTTGTTTTAGGTAGGTGTTAAAGATAAATCAGTCTGGAACATGTGATTGGGTGTTAAACAGCTTTCCTCAGCTCCATTAGGCCTTGAGGAAGTTCTCGATTCATATGAGCAGCTTTCAGAATTTCATGGAAGTTACTAAATGAAGAACAGTAATCTCATTAAGCCAGTACTCAGAAATACAGAAATCAGCTTCTCATATTTCATGGTGAAAAAAACAAAGGGGGTTATTTTGCTGTGAGTTCTCTGCTATATATTTAAGCTGGAGGTCAGAAGGTTCCTGACCATGAGACACCTGGAGCTCTTCATGGTCTTCTAAAGAAACAAGGAGGTAAAAAAAAAAAGGCAATTCAAGCTTTTCTAACATAGCTGTTTCTTTGTTGCTCGTTTTTGATCAGACAGGGAAGGACTTGAACTTGAGAGCCTCAAATATCACAAGTTTCTTAAAATCAGATCCATATTTTCACACGACAAATATCCCAATAACAGGGATTGGTGGTGGTTGATGTGTTAGGAAGAGGGTCCAGATGTCATGAAAAAAAATTATCTGATATCTCAGAATTTTTCAACTCACTGTCAATTAAAAGCAACATTTAACAATGTTACTGATACTGAGAGACCAGATTGTGAAAAACTCATTTTACCCTCCTGTAAAGCACATTGCTTGTAATTCTCTGATATCTTGTCCCTCCTTAACAGTCCTTTGGCAAAATTGCCTGGTGTTCTTATTGTTTGAGCTTATAATTTTGAGAACTTTTGGTGATTTCCTTTCTAATTCCTGAGTCAAAAGTGGTCAGTGGGTGTTCTAATAAACCCCCCCACACAAGAGATATTATTGCCATAGGTGAAGAGATAAAATGAGATCCATCAATGTGGAGTTTCTCCTATCTCCTCATCTATCCCAACAATGCTTTGAAAATTCAATTTTCCCAGTCCATTTATCTTGTAGGTGTAAATGAACAGCCTTTTCTAGTCAGGTTTTTTGGGTTTCTCAATGAGAACTTGAAAGAATAAGAGCTTTAAAAGAAGAGTGAAGCTTGGTGCACAACTTGAGGAACTGAATAAATAAGTAAATCATTAAATATGAATGAAAGCTCTGGAACTAAGGTCCCTGTTCTCAGATTTCTCCACACTTACAAGCAAGGAAAAAAATCCTCTAGATTATTGTGAATATACCTGCAAAAAGGATGGTGTCATGTGGGGTCCTCCATATAAAACCACTGTTTAAAACAAGACTTTAGAGCTGTAATAGGGAAGAGAACTGTTTCCCACAAAAAAACCCCAAACAAAACAACAACAAGAAAACCAACAACAGTGATAACAACAACAACAGTACCACCAAGAAAAAACAAACAAACAAAAAAACAATCTAAAAGGGGAAAAAACCCCAAGCCACCAAAACTCAAACCAAAACCCCAGGATAAAATTCATGGGTAGAAGAACCTGCCATTTATTTTACCATTAATTTCATTACTTCGGATCCTCCCCATTCTCACCCAAACACAAAGTCCTTGCTGCTGATTTCCACTAGAACATATTCACAGTTTTCTTTTCTGTCATAATACAAACCTCAGCTAGGAGGAAGAGTTTTCCTACAAGCTGAAAGAGCATCAGCATATTGTAGTTACAGAGCCTGATATTTAACAGCAGTGCCGAAATCTGAGCGTATTCTGCAAAAAAGCTTAATTTAAATAGCAAATGTTACACTCCCTGTGCTGGCCAGTGAGGAAATGAATAAAAGGTCCTTGTAGAAGAGGTTGTTCCTGTAACTTTAGCAGGGTTTGACTGAGCTGCAGGGATGAGAACAGAACCCAGCGCTGCAGCCATGCAAGGTTTGCAAACCACAACCTCCCTCTGCACAGACCTCCCGAGCTGGGTGTGCAGCTTTAATAGAAAATTTTGAGCAAACCTACTGCTCAGGTCTTGAATAACACTGTGTCATTATTTGGGGATGATTCTGTGGCTTTTAAGGAGACAAAGTAGCTAGGGGTTGTCATTACAAAGTATGACAGGTCATTTCCTGAAGCTAATTAAAAAACTCCACAGTCTTCTGTTATTACTAAGAGACTTATTAAAGCCCTGTTGGGGGTGCACATCTTCATAAAAGTTTTGGCTTATTTTTAAAAAATGAAATGAAGCAAAGAAAAAGATTTAAGCACTATTTGGAAAATTAAAATCCTTAAAAAGTTTAGAATTCTCCATTAAAAGGTCTGAACTCTTTGTAGAAAAGTTTGCTAAGAAAATCAGTATTTTAATAGCATTTGGTTAAAAGACACACCTGAAGCCTCACAAACAACACACATTGTCCTGAAAGAGTGAGAGGGACACTGGTTAAACTGGGAAGGGATTTGGCATATTCCACACAGAGCAGGCACTGAATATCTGCCCTAAGCTTTAAATGAAACTCAGACCTAATTGTGAGGGTGTTACCAACATTTTGATAATAAATCTAATGAAACAAGAAGCCAATATACAGCTTAAGAGACACATGGACTTTTCCTGTTGCTCATTAACACTATTGGCAGTCACAGAGGGTCATAAAGGTTTTCAACTTGTGGATAACAAATGTGAGTCTTGAAAAATATTCTGAAGCTCATTCAGAATTCAACAGAATGTGCCTTGCTTAATGTGGTCAGAATTAACGAAGAAGAAAAAGCAAAGATCTCATTAAAAATTAAAAATAATGCTGGTGGTTGGCTGATATATGATATAAACACTGAAGTTGGTCTTTGCCACTCTATTGTTTCCTGTCTTAGAGAAAAAAATTTCCAGGTTTTCAGGAGGTCAAGGCAGGCTGTTGATGCCTTTGACTGTTCTGTGTCAAGCTGCTGGTGAACCTGAGATTTGGAATTTTCAGCCTTGCTCAGAAAGCCATAGGCCATAACACCCAAACTATATCCCATAGCACTCAAAACTGTATCCCATAGCACACAAAACTATATCCCACAGCTCTCAAAATTATATCCCACAGCTCTCCTGAAAACTTCCAGTAACAGGAAGAGCATCATTGCACTCCTGGCATGTGCCAGCTCAGTCAGTGAGCTGAGCTCTGAGTGGGACACATTCAGAGCCTACAAACATTGCACAGCCTCAAAGTTGTTCTACTTTCAGAAGAGTCAAAGTGCAAATCAAAAAATTAAGGAATCTGTGCGGCCTTTCTCTTTTTAAATGTGTGCACACATTCCCTCAGTTGGGATGCCAAAGGCTGTTGCAAGGTTTAGAACATAACTGATAATCAGTTTTAAAGCCAATATAACGTGTTGCATCTGCCTAACAGACTCTTCTCAAAAGCCAAAACGAAGACTTTTATCACCAACTAAGCTCTTGACAGGGCTCAATATGCAACTATGCAACTTCCTGGCCCTGAGGAGTTTGTATTCCATCTCTCCTACCCATCTTAAATCCTTTATCCCAACACATGTAGAGTGGATGCTACTCCTGACACCAGGATCTGCAGTTAAGTGCACAAAAGCCATTTTTGGAGGGCAGCTTTGGGGGCTGGCTGTGTGGGTTTCTTTAAACTTCAACTTCCTGCCAGTTTTAAGTTTAGCAACTGGTGGAGGAGGTAGAAAGAGAAAGAGAAGTCTGAGTAACATTTTCTGCAAGTGCTGTTGCCTTATCCTCTCCCATCATCCACTCCCACAGCTCGGAGAGCACTGTGGTTTTGGTACTTCCTTCCCCCCATGGCGACACACTCAGTGCCCCAACCTCCTGTAATAATGTTACTTGTGAAGTGTCACCCTCCTAAAATTCTCCTCCTTCTAATAACCCCTCTGAGCCATTGCTTTGGAGCATTTCAAATAAACTTGAAGTTGTATTTTAAGTAGCAAATGATTATTTTTTTTTAAAACGAGCAAGTTTTTGCTGTCGCCTTTTCCTCGAAAACCAGTTGGTGTAAACTCCCACAGCAGGCAGTCCAGGTTTAGTCCAGAAAGCTTCCAAAGACTCAGCTCTTATTCACACCCAGGGAAGTCTGAACTAAAAGAATTATTAGCTCTAAAAGCATTGATCTTCATTTTATTTCTTCAGCTAAAAACCCCCTAAATATAATGAAAGATCCTTCCTCTACCTCTTCTACAAGACAGAATAAGCCACCCACAAGTTCCATAATGCCCTTCTTGACCAAAGCACTGGTGCACACAGAGCACTGCTCACCCCAGAACATTTCCTGATGGTTCACCCAGAATTTATTATTCACACAGCAACTTCCTCATCCCCTGCAGCAGAAGGAAATTCCTCGTGCAGAGCAGAGCTGGTTCCATGGCAAAGAAGAGCAAGAGGAGCCCTGTGTCTATAACCTGGCATTTTTCTTGCTTTATACAATTTGCTTGGGTAGCAATGTAAGATTTAGACAGTTGTAATCCTTCTGAAATTATTAACACTTGTACTTGTGTGCATTTCAAAAGGGGCAAGTAGGACAATATTGGCTTCAAATCAGATGATTGCAAAGCACTGCCTTAAAAAACAACCCCAAACATTATTCCTCTGTATTTTCATACTTGGGTCCTTCAGTACATATCCTCAGTTTCTCATCCTCCTCTGCCTCCTTTTCAGACCTGAAATGGTTTGGGTTTATTGGTTTGTTTTTAGCATTACATTGCTTGAAAGCTTGTCTTCCTCCTGTCCCAGCCCAGAAGAGCAGTTACACATGAAAGATGCACAAATTAGGTCATTTGGAAAAAAACTAGGGGGCTGTTATTGCTGAGTAGCAAAACAAGTCAGAAAAGGAGAAGAAAAACAAAATAGAGTGGAAACTGCCTGGCCATAAACAAATATTTTACAATGTTGATATCAAGTTTGATTGACCCAATCTGAGACGTTGGGAAAGAATTCTACATTAAGAATTAAGTTAGGATTTTACAGAATTCAGAACCTGAGGCAAACAGACATGTTAAGTTCCAGATTTTTTTTCATACTGCTTTTATTTCCACAATTACTGTCTCTGACAGACCTAAACAACATTTTTAACCACTTGTACGTAAACAATCTGCTCTGGTTGTCACAGGACTTTCTTGGTCAGACGTTCCTCAAACAAAGAAATAAGGAGAACTGAGAATCAGAGCGTGCCTCATCACAAACTTTCTTAGAAGCAGAATAATCAAAGAGGAAAACTTCTTTACTGTCCTCTCAGTGGAGATAATCCTGTGAATCTCAGCAATGACTGTCCTGTACCCTCAGAGACTCTCTCAGGGACTCATTTAATATCAGAATTCCCAATCCTAGATATCTGGGCTGGCTGTGGGTGCCTGGAGGGATCCTGGATTAAGTATAACTTGGTTGCAGAGGAAGGAACACAAAAAGACTAGAGAGGACACAGGGTATATTTAATCCCTAGTTTTGTAACCACAAGCTCTGTTTCCTGAAGTATTACTGATTTTTCCACACAAAATCCGACAGATGCCGTGGCCATTATTTCAAGCCATGTTCTAGTGTCTGTAACACCCAGAGATTCTAAGGCTTCCTGGGTTTAATGTTAATTTTTAAACATGACACAGCAAAATGGGGTTTTATCTGGGTAAAAAAAGTCTAATTTTCAATTGAATGTGCTGTGGTGCAACTTTGCAATAAGATGGTAAAGTCAGTGTTCTTACCACATAATAAACAATTTAGTTTTAATTCAGTAAACACTGAGGGAAAGCAGCTGAGAAAATGACTTGGCTGCTTTGACAAGTGACAGGTTTCAAGGAGTTTTTTTAAACTGTTTTTGTGTTTCTTTTAAATAGAATCGTAAGTAAATTAAGTCAAGAAATAAACAGAAATGAAGGGAGGCTCTCTTTCCTTCCAAAATGGTAAGTAAAACAATTCAGTTTTCTTTTCCAAAGCTTTCAGATAGATTTTTTATTATATAAAATAAAGCTCTGTTTAGTTAATATCAGTTGTGAAGAAAAGCAAAACCTGAGCCCATGAACACCTCAGGTACTTCTGCCCTGTCCAGAACAAGTGACATGCACATTTCATACAATTTTCCACCCCGAGCACATCAATCTTTAGGAAGCCTACAAAGTCCAGACACATATTATTGCACTAATAAATCATCATTAATGCATTTCACAGACTACACATCACTACAATTTTTAATTCTTAATGACTTGTCACTGAATAAAATATTCCTGCAATAGAAAAGGAGCAAAAATTGCAAGAACATTGCATGAGAAAAGAACAATTATGTTCCTACACGATGAAAACCCAAGTCCAGTCTACATAACACAGTTTTGCATTGTCTTATCACATGATTTTACACCTTTCCATTAACTGGAGTCCAAAACTTTAATTGAAAACCATAAAAACATTTGTCAGTGTTACAAATATTTGTGAACTTGACTTTCAACACCTTGATCTGAATTAGTGAAAAAAGCTTCTATTTTCAGGACTGGGCCCCTGATAAATGTATTTACTGAGTCTGTTTTCTTCAAAGCACTTGACCTCTGACTTGAATTCTTTTCCAGAGAGTTTAGTTACATTAGGTTCCTGTATGCGAAATATGAAATAATGTGGTTTTGGTATTTTGAACAGACTTAAACTTGTCTAGATAAGCTTCATTCTACTGTTATAGCTAAATATTATAAAAATAAAAACATCAAATATTCGAGAATTGTAAATAGAAGGAATTTATTTTTTTGTGTCTTTGTTGTAGGGCCCAAACACAAAAAAGTCCTGAAAACCCAGGTAAGTGTGTACTGGCAGAGAGCCTCTGACAACAAAAAGTGTTAAAAAATTTTAAACAAAAAGTTTTTAAAACATTAAGTTAATACTTTCAGGGCAGAGTCAGTTGAGGGCAGTGGGGGTGGGAGCCAAAAATCCAAAACAACAAATAGAAATATGAGAGCATAAAGAAGATTAAGAAAAGATTAAGGAGTAGATACAGGAGAACAAGGAAGAAAAAGTGCTTTTAAGAAGAAAAGGTGGTGAAGCAAGGCCAAGCAGAGACATTTAAAGGAGAATGCCCAAACCGTCTTTCTTTAACCCAATGCTCAGTCTCAGTGTTTATATATTTCTTTTCCAACACCTCTGCCCCTGCCCTTACTCCCAGCAGGACACACTAGTAGAGAGGGAAACTGAAATTAAAAAGTCTTCTGCTCTGAGAGCTAAAATAGTCCTAAACAAAGGGATGGACAGGAAGCTGAACAGGAGCCAGAGTGTGCCCAGGTGGCCAAGAAGGCCAATGGATCCTGGCCTGGCTCAGGAACAGTGTGGCCAACAGGTCCAAGGAAGTGATTCTTCCCCTGGACTCAGCACTGGTGAGGTCACACCTCGAGTGCCGTGTCCAGTTCAGGAAGGACATTGAAGTTCTGGAGCAGGTCCAGAGAAGAGCAACAAGGCTGGGGAAAGGACTGGAGCACAAGTCCTATGAGGAGAGGCTGAGGGAGCTGGGGCTGTTCAGCCTGGAGAAGAGGAGGCTCAGGGGAGACCTCCTCACTCTCTACAACTCCCTGACAGGAGGGGGGAGCCAGGTGGGGGTTGGTCTCTTTTCCCAGGCAACTCTCAGCAAGATAAGAGGGCTCAGGGTCTTCAGCTGTGCCAGGGGAGGTTTAGGTTGGATATTAGGAAGAATTTCTTTGCAGAGACGGTAACCAGACATTGGAATGGGCTGCCCAGGGAAGTGGTGGATTCTCCGCCCCTGGAGGTTTTTAAGATGAGACTGGATGTGGCATCAGTGCCATGGGCTGGGAACCACGGTGGGGTTGGATCAAGGGTTGGACTTGATGATCTCGGAGGTCCCTTCCAACCCAGCTGATTCTATGATTCTATGATTCTCTCATTCTCTCATTCTATGATAAGAAGCCTGGGCTCATTCTGAAGGCGTTCTGTTTCAAATTGTATTTAAAGCTGGAAGTGCAGGACAAACTTGAAGTGCCAGCACACGAATCATCTCCCCCAAGGGGGGCTTTGCTCTTGGTTTGCAATTGGTGTCATTCCCAGCACCCTCCATGGCTGCTGGGCTGCCTTTGAAACACCAGCTCGTTCCCGTGACGTTGCACTGATGTTCAGAGCTCACCTGGGGCTCCTTGTGTCCTTTTTTTGGTCGAGTTATTCCATCTTCCTGCACACTAAGAAGTCTGTGCTTCTGCTTCTTCCCGCAGGGTACGCTCAGGATGATGGGGGCTGGTCTTCATTCGTGAGTATTGGCACTGACAAACCCCCCTGGTTCAATGCCTTGGCTGCTCAGCTCCCACAGATCCCCCCCCCCCCCAAATTTTATTTACCTATTTCAAGCTCTTAAAAGAGGTGGCCAGCAAAAGAAATGTTGCTGTGTTTTTCAGTGGCAAATATGTGCCATTTAATTCTTTATAGAGTTGATTTGCTGATGAATAATTTGTTTTAATCCAAGTAGACTGCAAAAGTTCCTTTTGCCTCTTGGCATTTTAGCAAACATCATTACACCTCAGCTGTTGATGCACAGGCTGGGTTCATGAAGATCTCTAAAGTTAACCAGTGCTAATTTTTTTTAGAAAATGGAGAGGCATTTAAAAAAAACCCAAACCACTCGTTACTCAGTTCACAGGAGATTTGCTGCTATTTTAGGAGCACAGAAGATAAAAGTATCATCCTACAGAGCACTTGGGCTCTGTGCCAACACAGAGGGCTCTGGAAATTTCAGCCAAGACACCAATGGAGTGGTTTTTTCTGGTGGGCACAGATATGTGCACTGACCACACTGGCACAGTGATCTCACGAGCTCCTGCAAGTCCCACCGAGCTGGTTTGGGTCTGGCCGGTGGAGGACACCAAAACCCAAATCAAAGACCTCATTTTTCCTGAAGCGTTTTTAAAAGCTGGGTTGCAGGCTGTAGAATACGTGTTAGTCAGTAAGAATGGACATCAACAGGCATCAGCTGCTGCTCCAGTGTGTTTTTGGGAACACTGGATCGTTTGCTGGTGCTTTGTCCCCAAACAAAGGCACTGTGCATTTCCCTGAGCTCTCACCTTATCCTGACCCTCCACTGCACTGGTATAAAATGATATTTGTGTCCTTTCTGAAGCTGTTCAGTGCTCCCTCCACTAGTATCAGTGTTGCCTCCTTTCCCCATTTTCTTTAAATGCAATTTTTCCCCTCAAACTCGTTGTAAAACCTTGAGATCCTCCAGAGGGAAAAATACACAGGGAAAGGCCACAAGGAAACCGCCCTGAAGTGTTCAGTGCTCTGTTCCAGCCCCACTTTTTATGCTCATTTGCCAGGAGGATGATGATGATGATGACTATGAAAGCCCTGATGAAGACCAGGAGAAGGAAGACGAGGCTGACTATGAATCCCCAACAGAAGAACCTGGGGAAGCAGAACATGACAGTGATGGCTACGAGCCCCCTCCATCCAACAATGATGAAGCCCATCACAATGTCATATTTCCTGCCAAGTCACTTCCAAGCAACACTGATTATATAGGTAATTACTGAAAATAAAGTGCTGTCGATGATTTGTAAATTCTGTTTTCACACGTTACCAGCCACGTTTTGGGTGATTGGTCGTGGGATGTAGAAGGTTTCGTGGAAGGTGCAAACCTGCCATTGGGACTGGCTGGTGTTTCACACAGTCACTGAGCTGCAGGACATGGCAATAATACTGTGGGCAACAGACTGGCAGAGGAGTCACCAGCACAGGGACAGATGGGCCTGTAACTCCCATCATAAAACAGCTGCCAATGACATCCTACAGCAATGTCTTTATGATCTACTGAGCAACCAGGTCCTTGCAAGGGCTCTTTGCCCTAAAGATCTAATGACTATTAAATGACCAAAGTCTGTGTAGGTGTTTAGTTTGGGATTTTTGTTTTCTTTAGACAGACCTTCAACAACCAGATCATCACATCAGCCTCCAGTGCCACCCCAGAGACCTGGCCCATCCCCAGGACCAGCCCCATTTGGGGCAAGAGGTGCTTCTGTATGTTCTTTTCTTAATGTTTTACCTATTTCCCATGCCAGTAACTTTTTAAATGTCCAAGTGTAATGCCATTTTTAATCAGCAACTGTACATAGAGGGAGAATTTCAGCCATCAAAACAGATTTGAACTCTGTTCCAGGGTGACCATTTTTCCAAGAAATTAAATTTCATGGGACAAATATATTAAATTAATAGGGTAGTATATTATATTATTTGGATGTTTCCTACACTGGAAATTTATATCTACTTGTGAATGTCTTTAACATATAAATTATATATTTGTAAGAGATGCCTCTCTGTTTCTTTAGTGACATTTGTAAATTAAAAAAAAAGGTTAATTCTTTCCAAGCTATTCATCCAGCAGTTGTCTAATTGAATTAAGACCACATAAAAGGGTAGGAGACTGTTTAATGAGAACCTGGATGACCCAGATTTGTCTCCTTTTATTTATTTTGCTGCTGTGAATCCTTCAAAACTGAAAGCTCTTGTGCTGTTCACAGCTGGCACTATAATAGGTTCAATGTTTGCCAGGACAGATGTACATTAGACCTACTATGTACACAAGGTAATTCTAGGATGTGATAGAAGGATTTTTGGTCTGACCCAGTGACATAGTTCATATGTAGAAAACACAGAGGACTATTGAGTGTCCTGAGCCCTCAAAAGTGTCCTAAATTGAGGCTGAGGATGAGCTTTGGAAGGCAGGTGTCTGGAGAAATCCAGGTTTGGCTGCTGACAACAAAATGCTGTTTCATCCCAGCTCTCCCAGGAGCAGAGAACAGCCCGTTCTCCCCCTGCCTCAGTCACCAGTCAGTGACTTATTACATATTTCTCCTCTTCAAATGTGCATCCACTCGTTTCAACACATTTACAAAACCAACACCTGCTGCACTGGAGGGGCAAACCCACAGCAGTGGTGTTGAAGCTCCTGTTTCTTTCCTTTGGCAATAAACACGATCCTCCCCCAAAATACAGCCCACTGGAGTATTCCCTGTGAGGCAAAACAGGTGGAAGCAATTCTGCATCCAACAAGAAGCCAAGCACGTGGGGCATTCCTCAGGAGAGCCCCTGGCTCTGTCCTTCCCCTGTGAGCTGGGATCTGCTGTGCTGCACAGGCACAGGGATGGGCAGCTGTGTGTGCTGGGTTAACACACTGAAACTAAAACAGAAAGGTGAGGACGCATTTTAACCACGTGTGAAATATCTGTTTCAGCTGCCAGCTTTCCCTCCTCCACCAAGCAACAACGACCTGGGGAGAGACAGGAATATGAAGCCTTTGAAATGTAAGTAGAGCTGGTGGGCTTCGCTCCTGCCTCCATCTCCTCACTTCCACTCACTCCTACTCTCACATAGAAGTCTCTCTTGTTATTCTAAGTCACACCAGTTCATGGCTGCACAAAATAAAGATATATTAACCTATCCCAGCCTGTTGTCTCACACAGCTGTTGTGTTTTAGCCCCAGCTCCTTCTATAGACAGAAGCACAAAGCCCTCCCTGGACCGTCTTGCTCCCCCATTTGAAAGAGAGAGCCCAGCAGCAGGTCAGTATTTGTTTTACTAATATCAATGTGATTGTTTTAATTATTGAAAATTATCACTTTGAATATAATTGATGCAAAACAACAAGGCTCAACCAGATGGACTCTAATCCACTCCCAGGCAAGGTAATCTGTTTGTGGATAAATGTTGTGAGCAGGACTTGTAAAGTGGGGGAGAAATTGTATTTAGAAAACAGCAACCCAGGGTCAGACAGGTGAACAGAAAGACTTGATGAGATCCCTGTGCAATAAAGGTTTGAGGTGACACTTAAGTGAATGAACAAGGAGATATTTAGTAGGTTAAAGGAGAATAGAGAGCTAACTCTGCACACACTGCTGGGTGTAATGTGGCAACAGACAAAAGCATGCTGAGAACTAGTAAGACTTAGAGGAAAAATTACATTTGTTTCAGACCTGAAAACCACATTGTACAAAGAATCTGAAGATATGACTCTATGATTTTTATTTATTATCTAAACTCTTTCATCGGTTTTATAATGGCTGAAAAGTATCCAGTAATTCAAAGCTGAACCCCAGCAAATATGATTGTAAAACATGCCACCTTGAAAATGGTTAAATATGCCTTTAAAAAGAGATATTGCAATTTTGCCATCACTCACAAAGCCAGAATATTTTTCTGCTTTACATCTCAGGAGGCTGAGGGCTTCAGCTTGCAAAATTAACTTCCAATATATTCAAAACTCACTGGTTTCATAGACAGCTTGATTAGTTAACTTTCATTTTTTCTAATTGTAAGCTTTTACTGTTTTCAGGGAAGAAGCCAAGTGTTCCTGAAAAGGTAAGATTTTTTTTGTTGTTGTTGTGCTTATTGATGTTTTTTGCCCGTTTTGACACACTTACACATTCAACTTCTCCTTGTTGTTTCCCAGCCTCTGGTTTCACAGCTAAGGTAAGACTTTTTCCTCTAGAAATGGTCCTTTCAGTGCCAGTATTCCCCAGTTATTTCTCAATAAGCAGTTTTTGCCTTTATTTCATCATCTTGCTCCTGCTTTAGGTCCCTGGGGGAACAGCTGGCAATGATGCCCAAACCTCCTGTCCCACCAAGTGACAGATATGAAAGAGGAAACCCCCCTCCCTTAAGGAAGCAAAGCCCTGGAAAGTAAGTGCTCATTTCACTGAAATTTAATGAAGGATAAATCAAAGTTAACAAAGATATGGACAAGCAACACAGGGTGGTACAATGTACAGGTCCTGCCTGACAGCAGGGGCTGGGGATATTGAAGATTTTGGTTGATGAATGTGTTAAACTGCAGGGAAGTGTGAATGCAGGAAAACCTCCCTCTCCAGTCCTGTCTGGAACAGCCCCATCACACGGGGCAGGACTCACTGCCAAGCTGGGCAAAGAAATCTCTGATCCCTGTTTTTTTAACACCAGCTCAGGTTCTTGCTCTAGGGAAAGTTATTTCACGAGTTCTGTTGCTGGAGGTTTTTTAGGGTGTTAGAAAAAGAAAGCTTTAATTTCCTCCCACTGATTTAATTAGCCTGCAAACCTCCTTCTTAATAGCCAGTCACATTCTCCAGCAGAACTAGATCATTCTCCAGCATTTTCTGGATAAACTGGAGGCTGGGCACTTGGACCGAGCCTAAAACAAGTTAAGAAAGTAATTGAGATCTGCTGATCAGCCAGGATAATTTATCAGAGAAACAAAGATAAAAATGAGGTCATTTATCAGAGAAACAAAGCCTGGAAAGCTCCAGCAATGTTGCCAGGTGTTATAAGTGGGTTCAAGACTTGAAGACTAATGTTTCATCATTGCAAAAACTAGTTTTAAGCTCTAATCTCATAATCAATGCATCAGTTTTCCTTGTCGATAGACTCAAGTTGGGCTAAGGACAAGCATAAGGTTTAGATTAGGGCTGAAATTAGAATTTTAGATATCTTCATGAGAAAAAAAAGGTTTGGCATTCACTGGGCCTTTCAAACTTACTATAAATTCATATTCTAGTTGAAAATATGGCCTGATGCACACAAATGAACGGGGTTGTGTTCCACCTGTGACGAGTGTTTTGTTTTCATTTCAGGCAGAGTTGGCCACCACACAAAAAAAATGAAGTAAGTGTAGTCTCAAAGCATATATTTAAAACTATATGGACTCCAATAAAATTAAGTGCCTGTATTAACTAATAATTCTGGACAAGGTAAACTTGTTTCTTTTATCAGTTGTAAAGAACACTCCTGGATCTTTCACAGCACACGGAGTGTTTTCAAACAGTTCTTCTGTGTCAAGCTCATATTCCCTGAGTACTTTATCTTAGATAAGGGAAGAATAAAACCAGATTTTTTTTTTTTTATATAACATGGGAGAAGTGATTTTGCTTGCACTAAATCTGGGGGTTTGGGGGTTTTGTTCAGCTTAAGGTGACCTGAAAGTTTCACTCTCAGATAACTCTTGAGAGCCTGTACTTGGAGGAATGAGGAAAGTTTGTATCTGCTGAGAGTTTCTGAGTGCTTTGGGTCAAGAGCCATTATGGGACATCCACCACATTACTTATTTGTAAACAATTAATTAATTAATGCAAGACCTTTAACAATTATTTGGTGTTGCAAGTATTACAGTCCTTGTATAACCAAAATCCACCAACATCCAGGTTTTGTTTTGTAAAATATTCCTAAGAACTCTGCTGCAATATGTAGCTAATGTTTATTTTCTTTTGGCTCCCCAGGAAGAAGAAGACAGTAAGTATTTCTACAGTGATTTTTCAAGCTTAAGGTCTTTCTTTGCCTTAGTTTTATTAAAAAAAATTATCTCAGAGTTGTTGCTTTAGAGCCATTTCAAAAGTCAGGTTGTGTCTGGTGCCACTCTCTGTGTGATGTTATTCACTTTGATGAGCAGAAGCAGAACTTCTTTCATGTAACAACAGTATTTATAATGCCAAATTCTAGAGTTCAGTTGGCAAAGTGACTCCATAAGAGAAGCAGAGGATTTGACCAGGTCTCTGTGAATTATCAGAGCCTCTGAGCCTCCATAAGAAATCTGAGCTGTGCAGAGCCCAGTTACCTGTTCCCTCTTGCTGGAAGTTCAGGTCTGAGGCCACTGCAGAAGGAAAATGTTTTATTTCATGCCGGGAGAAATCTCACAAAGGAATGGGGTTCAAAAGGTGACTCAAATCTGCTATTTAGAAGCAGTGTAGCAGAGAACACTTGGTTATGCACCGCCTTCAGCTCTGCTGCAGGGAAAGCACCTGAATTGTGGCTTATCCAAAACAGAAGTTAGGGAATGTAAGTGTTGCTCAAGCCCGTGCCAGTTTATTTTTCGTTTTAATACTCAATTTTAAGCTCAGCTGACCATCTGAGTTTCCAGCCTGTCACTAACACATCACAGGCTGTTTACAGGCTCTTTACTCCGTGATGTTTATCCAATTAAGCAGCAGTTATGGGACAGAATTTCTTCATTTAAGAATGTCCCCCAGAAGATTTCAGTTCCCTTCTCTCCCTCTCCACAGCTGCACCCCCGAGAGCAGCAGTGCCACAGCTGTGCCTGCCCCCCTACAGCTCCAGCTCCCTCCTGGCCAAACCTCTCAAACCTCCACCCAAGCCAGGATCCAACAGCCTGCCTGGGGCAGACAGGTTGGTTTCACCCTTGTTTTTTTATTCCTCTTGGATCTCAATCCCTTGGGAATCCAGCAAATAACAGAGTGTGTGGAGCTTCAGGGATCCCAAGCACCCAAGGCAACCATGTGGAGTAGTTCCTTCCTTAGGCTGTATCCAGTAAAACAGCCCAAATTCGCACAGAAATACCCCAAAATAGACCCAAATCCACACAGAATCACCCCCAAAATGTCCCTGAAGATCCCAAAATATTCCTAAATTCCTCAAATCCGTCAAAATCCCACGAAAATCAATCAAAATCCAGGCATATACCACCAAAATCCATGGAAAATCACCCAGAATCCTCATAAAATCATCCCCAAAATACCTCCAAATTCCCCAAAATTCAGTCGAAGTCCAGTTAAAATCCCAGTAAAATAGCCCAAAATAACACTGAAGTTCCCCCAAATTGACCCAAATCCACACAGAATCACCCCCAAAATATTCCAAAATATTCCTAAATTCCTCAAATCCAACAAAATCAGCAAAAATCCACACACATACCACCAAGATTCATAAAAAGTCACCCAAAATCCACAAATATACCACCAAAATCCGTCAAATTCACCCCAAATCCACACGAAATCATCCCCAAAATATCTCAAAATTCCTCTCAATTTTATGTCAAGGAAATATTTTAGTGCCCACACGGATTCTTGAGACATCTCTCCCTTATGGATCTGCAGGATCCATAGGAATGAGAAGCCCTTTTGGGAAGGGCTTTCTACAAAAAATGCTCCATGGTTTTCTCCAAAACCATGCAGGGTGTAGGTCAAAGAGGCCCTGCACAGTCCAGGAGTCCAAGTGCTAAAGCTGTGACCACTAATTCATTTCAGAACTAAAAAACCCACAACCTCAGTCATCTGGAATTGAATCAGAAAGAATTTCACCACCCCTTTACTAAGTGTTATCCTAATGGTTGATAATTCCTATTTAAAATTGTGAACCTGGCTTCAAATTTTTTCCTATTTTCAGCTTACAAATATTTGATTGCTCTGTCTTCATTTGCTAGATGGAGGAGCCCTTAATTAAATTTCGATTCCTGATAATCTGAATTCTGGGAGTCTTAGACTTTGCTGAGTTATCCTGGGCTCCTTGAGTCCACGTCTGACGCATATTTTCTAATCTCTGTATTTTTTTAATGGCTCTTTGATGAATTCCTCCCATTTACCATCATTCTCTGGAACTGCTGACAGCCCAGCAGAACAAATATTGCAGTAGCAATAGCCAGGTCGTATGCAAATGGAACTGTTCCTGTGATGAACACTTCTGGTTATATTCAAAGAACGTGCCAAGCATTGCTGCAGTAGAGGCCCCCATTTGACAGAGTCTCTCCCATTAATCAAGCCATGATGGGGTGTTTTTGTTCTGCAAACATAATTAGCATTTTCATCTCAGAGCCTTTTCGACAGCCCATTTAAGCAGAAGAGAAACATGAACTGTAAAGGACAAAGAGTGCAGGTTGTTTGTCCCCAGTTAGGTGAAGAAACAAAAATAATAACAAACATTGAAGATTGGGGCTCCGTTTTGAGAAGTTTTGGGTGTGGGCTGAGGTTGGCAGGGAACTCTGGGTATCATCTGGCCCAAGCCCCAGCCCAAGCAAGGTCACCTTGACCAGGGAGCCACGTCCAGACGGTGTTTGAGTGTCTCCAAGACCGAGGGCTCCTCAGCTTTCTTGGCAACCTGCTCCAGTGCCTGGTTGCCCTCAGGGTGAAGTGTTTCCTGTTCAGAGGGAGCCTCTGGAGTTTCAGTTTGTGCCCACGGCCTCTGTCTCACCACTGGGCACCACTGACCAGAGCCTGGCTCTCCTTTCAGATATTTATGAGCATTAACAAGATCCCTCCCAGGCCTTCTCTTTTCCAGGCTGAACAGCCCCACCTCCCTCAGCCTTTCCTCACATGTGGGATGCTCCAGTCCTTTTTGTTGCTGGCCCTTCCCAGCCTGCAACATTAATGAGAAATGGCATTTTTATCAACAATGTTGATGAATAGTTTTAGAAAAGCCACAAAAAAAAATGACTCTGTTACCCCTGGCTATTTATCAAGGTGTTCCCTGTGCTTCCTGCTTTAAGGGAATAAAGGAGATATTCCCTGAGAAAGCTCAACAAGCTGGAGTACTTTTCTGCATTGATCCTGATCCAAAAGTCTTAGTGGCCATTACTGATTCCCTCTACCTTATTCCCAGATCTGAGCTCCAAGTAAACTTCAAGGTGGATCCACTTACCCAGAGAAGATTGAAAAACCAAAATGAGGAAGGAGAAAACTTTCCTCATCCTGCACGCGTCATTCTGTAAAACAGGCACAAAGTCCCAATCAGATGTTCAGAGCACAGAAAGGTTGCATAGAAATGTATTTATACTGACTACTTTTGTTTTTTAAACAGTGCTAGAAACCTGTCTTCGACTGGCTCACTACCACCTCGCTTACATCCAGGTCTGTATCCTGCATTCCTTCTTTTTTTTCTGTAAGAACAGGACTGAAAGTTGAAAGGTGGTTTCAGTGATTTCAGTGCAGTTAATATATAATATTTTTTTTTCTGTGGATGTTTCTGGTTGGGCTGTGAACAGAAAACTATCAAGTTCCTGAAAGGCATCTTGTGAAACTTACTTGGTCTTTAGGGGTTTTTTCCCCCCACAAAGCTTGGGTTCCCTGCCTGGTTAAACCAGTGTCACAATTTGATACAACCACCTTTTTCAGTCCAGCAAACAGCACTGAGAGCTGAGGTGTGCTAATACTCTCACAAAAGGGAGAAAACACTTTCCATGTGAAAACACTGCTTATTTATCTCGTAATAACAAGTAAAAAATAAAGAAAACTTAGAAATCGATGGTTTTGCAGGTAATTTTTCACGTATGGTAAGAGCTGCCAATGTCCTACAGTGACAGTTTTTACTTTCTAATTGCTAAGAAGGCAAGGATTGCAAAGAGACAATGTTACTTCTGTCTCTAAAGAAACCAAGATGCTCTCAACTGAGTAACTGTGGTACAGAAACTAAAAAGGTGTCACTTCTATTTCAAGTTCATCTGGTCTTATGGAAATGCAAGAGTTCATAAAGGTCCCTGTGCACCGGGGGTGAAATTAGGCAGAGCACGTGGTGCTGATGGAGAAGCCTGAATCTGATTTCAAATTAATCCCAAACATCTAAGCACCAGGGTGATGTAAACTTTTCATGCCCTATAAAACCAAGATCCTGCACAGATGAAATTATTCTCCTGGCTTGAACGGTTTTTTTTTTCTATTTTTGTATCTTTGAAGGCAACAACAGCAGATCCCCCTCAAGAGGCCCAGCTGATGTGAGACCTCCACTGCCAATTCCCGGCAGACAGACTGTCCACCAAACAAACCCGGAGGAAGACGAGGTACAAAACATCACAAACACTGTTAAACACAGCAAATTCTCTGCTTTGGAGAGAGAACATCTTTCAGAGTTGTTTTTCTGGGCAGTAGTCGTTCTCAGGTTGCCAGTAAGTGCTTTCAGTTTTCTTTTCTGGGTCAAATTTCAACGCCTTGTTTTGTCTTCACCGAGAAAAACAACAACACAGAACAAAATCAGAAAAACACTTGTTTGCTGGGTTACTTGTTTGGCACAATTGCCTTCAACTAATATTACATATTCAGTTCTCCTCCCACAAAAGTTTGGTGAGCAAACAACTCAGCTTTGTAAGTGCATTTTTATTTCACATTTCTTTAAATAGAACAAGTTGAGAACAAACTCCTGGTCATAACACTGCTGGACAACCATACTTGTTATATTCACAGGATTTACAGCGTTACTGTCTCAGATGATGGTTAAAAAATGAAAAAAAATGAATTTAAAAACAAACAAACAAACAAAAAAAGGCAAAGGATGCCAGTGTCCAGGTGGACAAAAGAGAAAATGCCATTTAAAATATCGTACTGAAAATATTTGTTTATTTGGCTTAATTGCAGGTGTATTATAGCCAGGTCTGCAATATTTTCAAATTTATCAAAGTGAGCAAATAATTTCAAATCCTTCAGTGCCACTTCACCAGACTGTAACAAATACCCTGAAACTCGAACCTTCAGAGATTCTGCACATAAACCCAAACATCCCTCATGCTGAGATTTCTCTCTGCTTCCTTGTGTGTTGCTCAAACTACAGACTCAGTCACTGACAGCTGATTTTGTCTTTTCTCCTCTCCCCCAAACCATCCCTTAGGGCTCCCTGAACAACGAGTGGTACGTGGCCTTTGTGAGCCGGCCCGAGGCAGAGGCAGCTCTTCGGAAAATCAACAAGGTACTCTGGGAATGGCAGGTGTGGGAAATATCCCTCTATTGAAATTTAAAAAGATGGCCTAAACTTAGGAAACAAAGAAACAAGGAAGAATTTATTCAATGCATTGGGTCTTTCTCTCACTGAGTTTCTGGGGAAAAAGACCCCTTCGGTTTAAATTTTGTACATTTTATAGGTTCACAAAATCCCACCCTTTTCAGATAAGTTTTAATGTATTCATCTTTACCTAAAAAGGTTTCTTGTCTCTGAAAAGGGGCTTTCCCTTTTTCCCAATTGGTTGCAAGCCATCTCCTGTTAAAGGTGATGGATCTTTCTTTGTTCTTAGCCCAAAGAGAAAAGGAACCTCATGTACAAAATGGCCCCAAAGGATTTAATTTTTAAGAATTTTCTCGTTTCCCTTATGCCGCCGAAAGAGACCCTGATACCCAAGTTCAGGTCTTGGATCTTGGATATCTTACAACTTCACGATACGCTGATTTATATAAAAAACTGTATTTTTATTTCTCATGCAGGGGATCCTCCCACTCCCTCACTGGGTGTCCTTGTGCTCCCATGGGAGGTCAATAAAACAAAGAGGTTGCAGCACCAATGTAGGTGCTCAGAGTGAAGGATTCATCTCCAGTCTTTCCCCATAGAAAAGTTTCACACCTGATCTAAACCACCCACAAAGGCTGTTGTTTGCCAAAATCCAAGAGAACAAATTATGTGTCTCCAGAAAGCGGTTTGACCTCGCCTGTCTTAGGAGGAGTGACTTGTTCTCTGGAAATAGTTTTCTGTCATCAGTGAGGAGTTTGTCCCAAATTCCAATATTTAGGCAGCTTGAATTATAAGATCCCGCCCTTTCCTAGGCCATACTGACCAGCAAAATGAAGCACAGATTCAGACAGATGAAACCCAGGCTTATCTGTGCATGTGGAGATAAATTAAAATTATGAATATAAATGAAATAATATGCCATCACTGGGGGAGATGTGGTTACTCCACAGCACTTGCCGTGAGCTGAGGGTGACGTACAACATTCCAACACTTGGATTAAAGGCTCAGCTTGTGGGATCACATTCAGTGCCCTTAAAAAAGGGATTTCAATGGAAGACTTGTCAAGCCAGATCTGAAACGAAGAGAAGCAGAGAGAGAGTGGTACAGTATCACTGCCTTTGCCTAAATTACACAGCCACTATCATTATTTTAGGCTGTAAATGCATCACATAGGAACCTTGACTGGCACTCGGCAGAAATGAACTTCTTTTCTGGTTAATGTGATGTCAGGTCTGGCCTTTGATATTTTACTTCCTCCTTTAACGGAATCTCTCCGTCATAGAACATCCTTCCTTCCTTTCCTAAAAATCTGCTTTTGTAACGGGCAGGAAGCGTTAAGTAGCAAATTTGCAAGACAACACATTTGATGAATGACTTAAACTCTGTCACAGCAGCTTCTCTTAGCAGAAGGAAAAAGATTTCAGAAAGAAAAAACACTTAGAAGGGGTGCTCTAGTTAAGGTCGTGATCAAACCCAGGAGTGACTTCTCTTTGTCATCTGCCATTTTTCAATCTTTCAGGATGGAACATTCCTGGTGAGAGACAGCTCAAGGAAAACTGTCACTCACCCATATGTGCTGATGGTGCTGTACAGGGACAAAGTGTACAACATCCAGATCCGTTACCAGGAGCAGGAGCACTTGTATCTGTTAGGAACTGGCTTAAAAGGAAAAGAGGTACCGTGTATTTTTCACACTAATTCTCTTCATTGTGAAGGATCTCCTCTCTTATTCCTAACTGTCAGGTTTTCCTGGGATGGAATTCTTAGAGTTATTCCTGGTAGAATATTGCTAGTGCTGGAAGTAAAATCAGGTTCTCCTGTTTGCACTCAGGGGATGAAGAGATAACTTAGAATTACGGCCATTAGAGATCCACATCCCTGGTTAGGGAATGTTTATTTTCCACTGATACACCAGATGAGGGGAATAAATACAGAGCTGAGAGCAAATCCATACCTGCCAACTTTCCTTTGCTCCCAGAGTGGTGGCTCAGCTGCACCAGCAGCTCTGTGTGGATTTAACTGGCACCAGTGAGCCCAGTGACCCTCACGCTGCAGTTCTGATTGAGCCAAAACACTCTGAATTTATCTCTTTCAACTTCCAATACAGTCATCACATCAAGCAGAATGACAACAACATGTATTAAACAGACTGCACGAATTAATTATAGCTTGTACACACAGTTATTGAGCTACAGATGATGGCAGGAATGAGAACAGTTGATCTGACAGTATTTACTGGACCTTCTATATTTTTTGTAAGACTGCTAAATATTTAGAGTTTAAAAAACCTCTTTTGGTTGTACTCCTTACTAATAATTCTGACATTTCTGCCATAGCCGTCTCATTTTTTCCATCCCACAGGATTTTTCTTCTGTGGCAGATATCATTGACCACTTCCAAAGGACACCCCTTCTTCTGATTGATGGAAAAGACAGAGGTTCCAGAAACCAGTGCATGTTAAAATATGCTGCAGGACATATTTAAATAAGATCTTAATGAAGATCACACATTGTATTGAAGCCTAGTGAAGTTTGTAAACTTGAAGATACTTCCTTTTTCAGCAAACTAAAATCATGAAGTCATTAAAAATCATTTCATTTCAAGGAAAAAGGATTATGTTATTTTTTAATTATGCCTTTAAATGCAGTATGCTTTAAATGTGATTTTCCTATGATGTGTTTGTTACTGTTCACTAATCATACAGTACCTGAGAATTTTTTATTTTCCAAGATGTGTATATCCTCTTGAAATTATTTCCACACCAAATTAGAGGATCCAGGAATAAATATGCATACAAACCTCTGCTGTCATAGGAGAATAAAAACGTTAAGCTCTTTTTTTGGATGAGAACTGCAGCAGCAATTATGTTACTTCAAGTGATACGAGGTAGACCCAAACCTTGCCAAAGCTGAGGAGTGGACAAAAGACAATAGAAGCGTATTTATTCCCCAATAAATCCAACCATGTCCACTTCTGTGAAAAGGCTGTGGCTCCAGCCTGGATCTGAAGGGCACACAGGTTTCAGTGACACCAAAAGTCTCTCCCACCCCAGATGTGCAGGTGCCTGTTGGGGTTTGTGTCTGGGTTACTTGGGTGTGAAACTGGATTTTTCACAGTTTTCTGGAGAACTTGTGCACCTGCAGACACCACTTTCTGCCACACCACTGAGGATTCCAGGCTTTATCCCACACACTGGAATTATGGATCTCCTGGCATCCTCTAACCTGACTCAGAACAAGCTTTTCCCCTGTAACACAGACCTTCCTTTGGTTGTGTCTTCCTGATTAAATCCAGCAACTGCTTTTTACTGGAAGCACATCCACGAGTTTATCACGTCATCATGTGATTCCTGACTGGCAGAACACACCCAAAGCTCTTAGAAACCATAAGCAGCAGCCTAAACTTAGTTCCTCTTACACCACTGCCCTCTGTTGTACTGTGTTTTTTAAAAAAATATAACATTCTCAGATCTAAAATATAACCTGCAACTGATGACCATTGAAGCACCAAGAGTTTTCCCCTCACCTTTGTTAAGTGGGATTTATCCAACTCCTTGCCTCAGTTTTCTGATAACTTTTGTGTTCTGACAACCTTGGTTTGATATGGTAGATTTGTCACATGTTTTTTCCTTTAAAGCCATTTGTGTCTTGAAACACTGGAACCGAAATTCAAGGTAGACAAATACTTCCCATACAACCTGTAGAGTTTCTCAGACATAACAATCAGATTTCACAAACAGTTTAAATAGATGTATTTTGTAAATGTTATCTGCCTTTCTAAAATATTTAGAATTCAAAGTTAGTGAATTTCGTTTCCATGCAGCCGTGGGTCCAAAAATAAAAATGAAAAATAACATTTGAAAAATTCTTCAGCTGCAAAAAGCTGTTTCTGGCTCAATATTTTTTAATCTGGTGAAAGGAGAATCAGTTCTAATCTATGTTTTTTAAAAAATGCTAAAATTGAGAACAACATCTCCCATATTACCACTGACTGTGAATTGGTGGCTGTAATTTTATTCCACTGCACTGCCTTGAAAAATATGGCTTAAGAAACTTAGAAATACCTCCTGCAGAATTGTGTTTTATCAATTTAAAATCATCTCACAAATGAAAGAGAAACGAAATTTATACCAGCATAACCAATTCTAGCACTGCACGTTTTTTCCAGTAGAATAAATCACAGTTTTATTACTCAGATAAATATATCTGGTAAAAGAAAAAAAAATACACCAAACGTTCAAACACTCAAAGATGTCCACAAGTAAAGTGTGATTGAATATTAATTGGAATGAACTACATGAAAAGAGTGGCTGCTCAAATTTTGGGCCAGGGAGATTTCAGGGTGGAGTATTTAGGCCCTTTTTTTGTAACCAAGTGCATTAGGGAGTCACGACAGAAACTAAAACCAAAAGTACTTTTGGTTTTCCAGTAATCTGCTCTCTGGCACTTTTTTTCAGAACAAGGAAGGCAGCTCAAATGCCCAGTTGCAGTTCCTCTTTCACTGACTGTTTCTTATCCAGTTTTCCAGAGCACAACTGAGACAAAGAGGAATGACTTGACTTGAAGGAATTTCAAATCTTAGGTGCTGGTCCAACATGTCTTTGTTTAACAGGAGACAACCACACTGAAAAACTTCATGCCCAGTTTCCCAGCCTTTCTAATTAATTATATCAGTCTTTCCAGCCCTGGTGGGCTTGTTTGGGCAATGTGGGCTAAAAAAACCCCTCAAAATCAGTAATCTGCTTATGGCTTTTTCCACTCCACATTTTCTGTTTAAAATAAAAATAGTCTGAGTGTAGGAAACCATAGTATCATTGTACAGCTCAACCTTCAGTCTTTTGAGGGAAGAGGAAGAAAAGAAGAAGAAGGAGAAGAAGGAGAAGAAAGAGTAGAAGGAGAAGAGAAAAAAGAGGAAGAAGAGGCAGAAAAAGAAGAAGAAAAAAAAGAAAAAGAAAAAAAAGAAAAAGAAAAAGAGAAGAAGAAAAAGAAAGAGGAAAAGAAAAAAAGAAGAAGAAAAAGAAAGAGGAAAAGAAAAAGGAAATAAAAAGAAACTTCAGCAGTATTAATAGAAGACAACACAAGAAAATGGATGTTTAATCTGTCAAACTCCACGTCTTTTCTTCAGCTTCTCTTAAGTCTTTGGCCTTTATAGGATGGTTGAAGTTAAGAATAAGGTCACAAAGCAGGAGCTGGCTTTCCACTGAAAGACAAAGGGCAGTTTATCAGCACGGTGTTTACGGAATGGGAGATGCTCAGCGAAGGGCATCTGCAGAAAGCACTTTTTGAAGTGTTCGTCTATCAACTCATTCACAGATTTAATGGGTTGCCTTGTTTTGTTTACTCCAAGACATTTAAATTAAGATTAGTACTACTTGTATTAGAAGACTACCAGTGTTTCTGCAAATGAATGACTTCTGACTATGCAACAGGTGTTTGCCGTGGTTAATTCACCTGATTCTATTGCTACAGGTAACTACTGCTTAATTACTCTGAAGATTCTATTGCTACATGTAACTACTGCTTCATTAACTTGTCCAAACACAAGCAAATCTCTTGTTTCATTACGTGAAAACTGTTGCACCACAAAAGAAACTGATCCCTTCACAACTCTTAGAACGCCTTAAACACCCTCTCGTGTAACTGGGTGATGAAGGCAGAGTTACCATTCAGCTTCTTCAGCTCGCTGGACATTCTGTCAACACTTTTAATTGCAGCCTCGAGGTTAAACTGCCCCGCAGCAGCAGCGGTTTTGGTGCCCTGTATGAAAGAGGAACAAAACATAACTGGCAGGGTTCATAAACTCATTGAAATAGCCACGAAATTGTTTTCTTTGATTTTCTTAATTAATATTTTTACTAAAACTTCCCCTGTTTTATAATTATCCACTTAGATATGGCAAATTGCAACTGTGGCAGGCAGGTACCAAACACTCAGGGGAGGGGGGTTTTTCTGTCACTTTTTTTTTTTACAAACAGCTGCAATGAAATGAGTCCTGGCTACAATTTCCTGTCCTCACCAATATTTGTTTCGGTTTTGTTTTTTGACCTTTTTCCCGCAGAATCAAAATTGAGTCCAGTAATATCATCAGCCACAAGATGGAGCTGATGTGACATCAATGTGCATAAGGAAATGGTCACTATTAGCACTGAGTGTTAATGAACCTGCCACAACCTGCCCAGAAACATTGGTGTCTGTGCAGGTAATTAGTTTCTAATCAACATCTTTTTGCTTACTTTGGAAATCACATTCCCTCCCTTTAACATTTACTTAAAACCCAACCAAAATCTAGAGACAATTAAGACTAGAAACAGTTTGAATTAAGTATAATTTGAATTTTCAAATTTAAAAACCTTTTAAGGTTTTTTTTCCCTTAGGAAAAATATGAAAGAGAAATGCACATATTGTGTTTTCTGGCCTAGTTATAAGCTCTTTATTTATCATTCAGAAATTCTAAAAGTAAAGTCTGGGAAAACTCTGGGTGATCCATAAATAACGTTCACTATGTGGAACACCCCAGCATGTTGAGAAATATGACTAAATGAATTACCATACATTTAACATTGATTCTTTGTCTGAGCCCCTCTTCCCTTCACACAGTGGCTTTATGTTGAGTTCATCAGCCAAGGCCAAAGATCCTAAAAACACAACCCTCAAATTATTAAGGATTAATGCATATAATATATATTTGTATATATCTCATGTAAAAATACATAATAGCATTTGAAAACTATAATGATTAGACCTCATTTCCATTAGTGTTTTTTGAAAGTAGAGTCTAAGAGGTGAAACAGTTTTAATTCTTCTTGAGGAAGAATAAGAATCTTGGATTTTATTTATTTTACTTTCTTTTTGAGACAGCATTTCAGAATGTTTTAAGAGTTAAACAAGAAGTCACTAATAGTGAATAAGCCTGTATATAATGATGAAGCAATCCTCAAACATATGCCTTTTTTTTAATTGAAAGCTTTCTGAGAGACTTAAAAAGACAGTGAAATTGTTTTCTAATATCAATTTATGGAAGGAAAAGCTGAAGCACAAACGAAAAGTAGTCAAGTGTTGACTGTGATGGGGCATCTCCCCCAGGCCACACTGTGATCTGAGATTCTTTAAGTGACCTTAAAACACTGTCTGCTGGTCAGTGACAGAGCTGAGATTAAATACCAGATCCCTGGGCTCTTTCTTCCCCCATTCTTCCTGCTCCTCTCTCCTCACGGATCAGGACACCCTCAGGTGAGCTGAAGTGTGTGATCTCACTAGAGAGCTGTTTCAACACTGAAAAAAAGGGAGAAAATGGGGTCGTTATTACACCCTGGGATGTGTTTTCAGAATAGGCACAATGAAATGATAAAGACTGTGCTCAGCAACAGGGCAGACACTGAGCCCCTCTGGGAGTGCCCCCCAAATGTCCCACAGTGAGGGCACAGCTCATTTGGGCTCCCTTGAGGATGAAGCCCCTGCCCGGGGGCACCAGCTTTGATGTCCCCCTGAGCTGAGACAACCCCAGAAATCTTGAGGGTTTCCCTGCTCCCAGGCTGCCCTTCCAAGCAGCAGAGCAGAAGGGGTGTCCTGCTGGAATGCCAGAATCAGAGATAGCAGTGGCAGGTCCTTCCCAGGCTGCTCAGGCTGTGCTGACACAGCTGCCCCCTGTCCTGGGGGTGCTCCATGGGCAGGTCCCTGTGCCGAGAGCCAGAGCCAGGGGCACCAGTCCCCGCATGGCACACGGGCACAGAGCCCTCAGCTCCAGGGGCTGCTGCCCTGGGCCTTCCAGGTGTCACCTACAGGGATGTTCTGACTGTTCCTGAAGCACAGCCAGGCCCTCTGAGCACCCCATTCCCTGGCAGGAAATATCCCAGGACACCAGAAACTTCAGGGGGATTTTGGTGCTTCTCTCCTGATGCCACGGAGCCATCTGAGCTGTCCCTGAGGAAACCACCACAGCCCCTCATCATGTCTCTGCTGCTCCTTTCCCCACACACTCTTCCCCTGCTCCTGTGTGTGGTCCCTCCCACAGGAGACAGTCCTCCAAAACTTCTCCAACATGTAAAATGGTTTATGTTGGAAGGAACCATGGAGGTAATCTGGTTCCAAGCCCCTGGTCATGGGAAGGGACACCTTCCACTGCACCAGGTTGCTCCGAGCCCCGTCCAGCCTGGTCTTGAGCACTTCCAGGTGCTGGTGGGGTCTGCAGGCAGCAGCCACACAGCCCTTTCCACCAGCAGTGAGGACACAGCTGTCACCACAGCCTGGTTGTGCCCTGGCTCTTTCCTGGCAGGCACTGGGCCAAGCTGGTCCCTCCAGTTTGGAACAGCCCCCTGGTCTGGGGCAGGCAGGAGCCACCTGGGCAGGGGGATGTGCAGACCCCACACATGGGCAGCCCAAAGGCTTCACTGCCTGATGTTCATCAGCAGGGAAAGCCCCGTGGTGTGTCCCTCTTCCAGCACCTCGGGGGTCAATAGGTCGCAGGAGCCCTGGAGGAGTTATGATTTTAGGAGTGGGAGGTGAAATGTAACCACAAATGTTGCAAGGGCTGAAGAAGAAATGGAGAAGAGAGGGCTGAGGTGTCAGGGGGGTGGGGAATGGTGCATGAATTTCCTCTTGTCCTTTGAGAGCTCATTGCATGTTGCAGCAACTAATTTGTAAATAGTCGGTTCCTTTTTGTCATCAACTTAAATTTACATGGAGCAAATTTACATGGTTGATGATGAGCAAAGCTCAGATCATGAACCTCAGTTCAAGGAAGACAAGAGAGGCACTTTGCTAGACAGATTTATCAATTTAGGCTGTGTCCAAACACACAGTCAAACACTGCCCTCAGATGCACATACC